GCAGAGGCAAGCCCATTCATTCTACAAGCCACCTTACATTATCACTACATTCAACAGCCAGAAGAGGTCAGTCAAACAGTTCAAACGTTACGCGTCAACACCTATGAGGATAACCTAGTAAAGACTGGTCAAAGAATAGAAGAAATGGATAGGTTCAAATCAGAAGCTACCCAGATATTGGAGGAAGAGTGGTTTCCAGCACACAAATGAGATTTCAATCTTCCAGTGCCAGAGGGTGTCAGGATGATCAATGCAAGCAGGATATCTGGACTTAATTAGCTGGGATAAACAACAGGACATGTCAGAACTTATCATGCGACGATTGGTTAAAGAAGAATCGGTAACCAAGCAAACTATTTTGAGCCACTTAGGCAGAATATACGGGATCTTGGCATATTATCGCCGACTACTGTGGAGGGATAGCAGATATACAGAGAGGCGTGTGACGAGAAGAAAGGTTGGAACGCGGAGACTCCGGATCCCTAAGAAAAGAATGAACCAAGTTAACAATATAGTTGAAGCGTGCGACCATACCCAGGAGCATTATAATGGTCATGACAAAGGTCGAAACAGTACACCACAACGTATTCGCCGATGAAGCAATCTGGCCTGCTGCGCTGCCTCCATATTAGTCGTAGAATACAGTTCAGGTGTGGTCAAGGACCTCTTGACATCGAATATGAAGGATCTTCTAGCGAGGCATTACTATAGCAAGATAAGAGTTGATCAGTGGTCAAATGGCGGCAAACGTGCTCAAAACATTCAACAACGCTCTGAGGCGATGGCCAGTGGAAAGCGCCACAGCGGGGATGAACAGCTTTGCAGCCTTATTTTGAACCTTAAATCCGGAAAGCTCTTGAAGGTGGTTGTTGAAAACAGAGTGCCAAAAATGGCTCCAGTAACAGAGGAAGTCAAAATTCAACTGAGATATTGCGCTAACTAACAAANGGCCTGCTGCGCTGCCTCCATAGTAGTCGTAGAATACAGTTCAGGTGTGGTCAAGGACCTCTTGACATCGAATATGAAGCATCTTCTAGCGAGGCATTACTATAGCAAGATAAGAGTTGATCAGTGGTCAAATGGCGGCAAACGTGCCCAAAAAATTCAACAAGGCTCTGAAGCGATGGCCAGTGGAAAGCGTCACAGCGTGGATGGACAGCTTTGTAGCCTTATGTTGAATCTAAAATCCGGAAAGCTCTTGAAGGTGTTCGTTGAAAACAGAGTGCCAAAAATGGCTCCAGTAACAGAGGAAGTCAAAACTCAACTGAGATATTGCGCTAACTAACAAAACCTCGCTGATCTGAAAAGTGGAGGTACATCCCCGAAAAATTGGTGGAGAATGAGTGGTATGAGAGACCACGGTGGTTACTAACGAAGGAAGACTGGTCACCCCAGCCAAGCGCTTAATGCACGCCAAGGTCTCAAGAAAAAGTACATAACTGGACAATATTGCGACTTTCACAAGGGAGACCAAGGAACAAGGAAATGGGACTATTGCAGTCCAAGAGACTGGTGAGTGGGACGTGCTGCTCTCGCAGATTCCAAACCAAGATCCTGGCCAAGTCAAAAAAGATAAAGAAAACGTCGGGCCCATTGGGTACCGAAGAACTTGTGGAAGTTAAACGGCATTTTTGTGGAAAGAGTA